TAAGTTGGCACTAGGTTAATATTTTATAATTGGCACTTAAGTAATACTGTCCGCATCCACATCTGGGTAAGGATGGGCCACGTATACGACTAGTAACTACACGCGAACAGTGACACGTGAAGAACAATGATATGTAAATCTGTGCCTAATACACAATCCCCCTGTAAAGTACGAGTAACCTCTCCTGCACTGAACAAGTAACCTCTCCTGCACTGACTAGCTGTAATGCTAACGCTGAAGATTCACCGAGATGATGAGGCGGCCCACAAGCTTGTGTCTGCAGGTGGCACTGTTGGGCTGATCCCACTGCTTCAACTACAGCACCGCCAGTCACCCCAGTAGTCATTACCTAGAGGCCTCAGTTTGCTATCAGGCTTCACCTAGCCTCTGTTTCTAGTGACTGGTGGGTACTAGTCAGTAGCCCAATGAGCAAGGGGTGCAGGCGTCCGTGGTGCCCCAAGCCTGGGGCCCTGGCTGGCTCCCAGTACAGTGACATGTCAGCCTAGGAGATCAAGGATGTGGGAGCCAGAAGGCAGCATGCAGGGGCCACACAGTCAGTGCCACCTGCATTTTACCTCACTGCTGCGTGGACACCCGAGTTCAGGCGTCAGAAGTAGATACCGTACAAGAAAACAGTATAAAACAACGCCGCCGTTTAGTTGAAAACAGTACTGAAAGACATATGATATTAAGTGTACACATTTCTATTGTAATACACTGCTCGACCCTGTTCAGTTTCATATAAGGCAAATACTGAGAGCAAGAGGGATGTAGTGAGCTGCAGGTCAGGTCAGGGCAGGTCAGGTGATGGGTCGGGTGTTAGGTCGAAGCGGCGGCGGTGGTGGTTCCTTGGGGTGAGGTGATGGGGCTGGCCAGAGAGGCATGGTTTAACTGAATAACCTTAGCTTTACTTCGATTATTCTCGCAGCAGTTGGTCATGAGAGCATATGCAGGGAAGACTCCTCTCAGGCCACCATCATCACCCACACCCACGTCCCCCGCCGTCCAGGTTATCCCGCTATTCCACGAATGGGCCTAATACAAGGAGTAACCGAAGCTAAAACAAAACAGATTTGGTTATATGCCCTGAGATTTTTATATATATATATTTTTTTTTGTTTTTTTTTGCAAATCATATGTAGAAAGCAACAAACACATGAAGTAGTGAGGATTATCTGCCAGGTGTAGCATAATTAAGGTGAGCACTATCGCTAGTAAGCCAAGGCCCTAGTACTGCATCAGTGCACATCAGGCATCATAAGAGCTGCTTGGGGGCATGTGTGCCCTCCTCCTGCATCACTCGGCCTGATGGCAACTTATGACCTAACCATCTGTTTATAACAAATTAACAATAAGACACGTGCGCAACAGAAAGACTCATTACACCGATTCATATGCATATACAAATTAGTTGGATATTGCTATATCAACCGTCCACAGCCCTAGCAAAAATCATAAAAAAGCATATGCAATGCATGGCTACTCTGTATCAAATATTTGCTATAGTGAACAGCGAGTATATGTTCTTGGTACAACCCACCGCAGTTAACGGATGAGCTAGCCTTTACTCGCCCATGGGGTGTGTGAGCAGTGGGCGGAGGCTCCTTGTTGGGTATGGCTCTCTATACCCGGGTGGCGGGCAGGCATGGGCAAGGTGGGGGCATGTGGCATACCCATGTCCCCACCCAGGCACACACACCCGACTCCCTAGACTGGCACAGGAACCCTGGAAGGCCACACCCACCGCGCACACGTAATATGCGACACCAAAACCTTGGTTTATTTTTTTTTTTGTTAATGTTTCTGGGTAAAATTTATTTTTATTCTACTGCGTCACGCTCAGTAAGTTAAGATACTAATTTAGGTTACATAACTGAGCAATGTAAAATTCACAGCTCCTTGATTACAATTTCTTGAAGGTATTAATTAAAAGATAGATGAGAGGGTACGCTGCGCCTGTGCACCGGGCTTGGCTGCAGCACGCGCCAGTCTCACATGGAATGGCTGAGGCAGCGGCTGTACGCTGCACTCACGACAGTGTCCTGGCACATGTCGTGACTCTAGAGGGTTCTAGAGGTGTCCTAGAGGGTCCTGGTGCAGCTAGTGAGACTACTGGGGGAGGGGCTGGATTTGCCCCGCCATGGTTCTCCATAGCCACTCTTCCCTAGCCCATCACCAGCCATCTTCTACACCTCACTGACTTTTTCACTCCTGTCCATTGTACATGTACTATTTCCAAGAACTCAGTGTTCTTTAAAGCTATTTTAAAAAAGTCTTTGCATAACTGTAATAATACCTTGAAAAGTTTTCCTCAAAATGGTATAAATAAAAAAATGGTCAAAGATGAGTTGAACCCATCTGGACAAGAGTGTGATTGTGAGGTTATGCATGGAATAAGAGATGGGCAAAGAGTGGAGTGGCTGGGTATGTGCTGCTCCTGACGGTAAGGCCTGAGGACCTTCACCGATCCAAGGCAGACAAGAGGTGTGTGCAGCGCGGTCGAGTGGCGGAACATTAACAGTTGGTCAACTTCTGGTATGGGGGTTGGGGGAGGGGGTTGGGGACTCGTAGAAACTTTACGTTGTCTAAGACTATACATTGTGGCAATACCTTAAAAGAGTAATTTAAAACGTTTTATCACCATATACTACAATATGATTAAAAATCAATGACATGCCATGTGAAAACAATAAATAAATGCTTGGCACACATTCGACTAGACTTGAAGCCTTACCAGCCTCTCACAACTAGACAGTACATGGGACTAAAATGTAAATGCTTACAAAGCCCTACTGATGTATGGTAATATGTCTTTTACAAAACCCTGTGGAAGCCAATGATAGCTTCATTTCATGAAGGTCAGAAGGAAGCATAAGAAAATACTTTCAATTCTAGGAAACATCTAAAGCTTCGAGATAGAAATATTAAATATTTACTGACATTTACTATCTGATGCATCCAAGAACTTGTAGATAAGATTATAAAATTCAGAGTGTATCTACAGAACAACACCTCTATGTATACATAGCAGTAGATAACTATTTCTTTGTTATTACAGTATTCTAAAACTAGAGATAAGCTCAACTATATGATTGATCAGTCATATACTGAAGGTGGAGTTTTCATAAAAATATCATTTTCAGTTAATCGACTAAAATATCAAGCCTTTTCCACGTGTTAGCCTCTATATCAAGTGATCCAGTCAAAGAGTATAAAATGGTACGCATGTATACAATACTTCAGTTATCACAGTCACATTTCTGGTTCCAGCTGGAGCATTCTGATGGTAACGATGCTTGAGCAAACGAGGTTGGCGCAGGGGGTCAGGCAAGGTGGGGAGTAGCGGCCGCCCTGGGGGATTAACTGAAAATGTTGTACACTGAGCTACACAACTGGGCAGGGACCGGCCCACAGCTCTACCTTCATCACCACCAGCTGGCTGCTGGCCGGACCCCGCTTACACCAAGAGTATAAAGTGGTAATTGTGGTAACATATGTCACTGACTCTGGGCACTGAGGCGCCTCCCAGCCACGCCCACCATGGCAGACCCGCCCCTCCACTGCTCGTCTCCAGTGTGTACCACCACCACCACCACCTGTGGCCATGCTTGCGCTGTCTACCTCGCCACCAACACCTGGGGCATTAATGACCACAACCACCAAGAAGACTTGTACCACAGTAATATACAATTATATGATGACCTCTTTCTAATATCTGTGCAGAAATACATGCTCAATAAACTGAAAAATTAGGTGCTGGCAGGAGTGGCAGAGGTAGGTGGTGGTGAAGTGGTTGTGAGGGGGCGCGGTAAGCTGGTGGTATTACTGCATGCTTGGCCAGACACCCGGTGTTGTGTGGAAAGCTGGGGTAATGGTGGCTAGCTGCGATATGGGCCGCTCCTGAGGCAGGGTTTTGGCTGGGTCCAACAACACTAGAGGCTGCTCGCATCAGTGGATAGGGGCTCGCACGATGTGGTTGGGTGCAATGTATTGGTAGCCCACGCCCGCCATACCCAGTCCTGCTGTCTCCATCGCTATCCTGCAACACACACCTGCGTCACCCATCACTAAGGGATACTTTATACAGTACACCATTTTCATTAAATCTCCACATAGTCAAGTACTTCAATAAAACTAATAACAAAAATTTATTCAGGAACATTTAAGAATACATTTTTAATGGAGAGCTTATTATCCATCTGTGTTCATATTACGAGGGGTCTTCAATTTATTGTATCTCATTTATGTACTTCATCTGGTCAATACGGTTGTTCTTTCACTGAAAATAACTGCCAACACAGTTTTGTTCAGCATGTTTCACTGATAGCTTGAGTCAGATATAAATTGCAAATCATTTTAATGTGCCTTCAGTCAGTCAACCTTGTTCCTCTGTAACTCCAACAGTTCAACTGAGTGACTTACAAGTTTTCATATGTTATTACTGTACAGTACTTGTAATTATTACTAGACCAAATTATTATTATAATCAAAAAGAAGCGCTAAGCCACAAGGGCTACACAGTACTAGACCAAAATTTGTCCAGCTGATTTACTGAACAGGATTGGGGACTGACTGAGGTACAGGGAACAGGTGAACTGGTTAACTTTTAGTTTGGATGTCAGGATTATATATGGCAAGTACTTTTTAAGAGTTTTTGTTCCCAGTGTGAGAACTTACCTGTTGGGGAAGTGAGAAGTCTACGAAGCGTTGGATCACAGGAGCGATGCATCGCCTTATTGGCCAGGCATGTGTCCCCAAGTGTTACATCAGGTTACAAGGTGGCTCCCTTCTACAAGCATCCACAAGTGCAAATAAGGTATTTCAAGGCATATAGATAAATTAAAGAAATTGGAAATTGTTGCAGAAGGGAGCCAGTCAGCCAGAGGGGTGTTGAGGTGCCGGGCGGCGCCGCGTGGTGGCGGTAGTGGTAATGGTGGTGGTGGGAAGGTGGGGATCACCACGGGGCAGGTCAGGATAGGATTGTAATGAAAGGCTTAGTCTTCCTCAAACTTTACACTTGTTTAATATCTAGTGGAAGAAACATTCACATATTGAGCTTACGAATGAACACCAGTACTTCTAAGGAGACAATTAACTTATTGCAAAACTGTACATTCCATACATTATAATGAAAAAGGAAAACAGCTAAGTTTTGTACCCACATGTACTTTCTCAAGGAATTACACATTATGTATGTAATATTTAATGCCATATCCTAAAATGACTAAGCCGAGCAACTACGGCACACGTGCTCGGCACTGCAATGCTAAAATATGAGAGGCGGTGATCTGGTCACAGTGCCCAGCTTCCTATCTTATGTCTGGTGCCGTTTGACTGTAGGGCACCCAGCAGCTGCTCACCGACCACATCCTATGTCGACACTAACTCTTACAAACTTGTAATTATCTGTTGGTTCATTAGAAAATTTTCAGAAACTTCACACAAATTGCAATTGAGAATAGTATGAATCTGAGACTGTCACCAGATGGACCATTACTGACAAACAGGAGTATCATGCACAACGTTTACAAGAAAACTATGAAATTGTGACACTGCAATATGCTTTCAGCTTCTGCTTGATGCCATTATAAAAAACAACAAGAAACAAAGAATCAATTGTCCTAACTGATATGTTTAGTTGAGAGGTGGCAGGCTGTCTGGGCTGGAGTGAGCCAGCTAAGACCACCGTGTATAACAAGCAGCTGCTGACCTAGTGATACTGACCATCTGACAACAACACGCATGTACCCATTGCATACACACTGTAACCGAAAGTCAGAGTACACAGCTTCCTGCTACCAGATAGTACTTCCTTATTCTAGTCGGTGGCATGCAGCTGGGAGTATTCCTACTCAGATCTGAGATGTGCAACATGCCCCAGCCCTGCTGGAAATTGCAGAGGGACCACCAAAGCCACCCTATGTTTAAGATGGGTCTGGCAGCCCCAAGTCAGCAGGGCTGAGGTGCACCTGTAAACAGGAAAAGCTGGCCCCCCTGGTTGGTGGAGAGCCACGAGGTTCATCAGGACTGGAGGATGAGGACGCTCTGCGTCCGGAGAGGACCGGGAGGCCCCGTGGGAGAGGATGAGGTCTAGTAGGGTGCGAACTTGCTGCGCTTGTTCTCCTTGGGGGAGCCATTAGTGGGCTGATGGACAGAGGCTTGGGTACGCAGCTTGGGTTGGTAGGCCCTGTTGTGCCTGTTGGCAGCCGCAAAACCAGCCAGGCCCTGGGAGGAGTCGGGGGCGAGCAGGGAGGTGAGGGAGGACAGGCCCTGCAGGCCGGTCAGGGAGGACAAGGCGTTCAGGGCTTGCGGGTTCTTGAGCAGCTGGGCCAGGGGGATGGCACTGGGGCTCAGCCCTCCCGACCCGGTAGACCCGGACCCGCCCTTACTTACTTCAAGCTGCGCCTTGTGCAGTTCCATGCTGGGGGAGACAAGGGGCCGCAACGTTATCACTGGCACACTATGCCGCGCCACTGCCTACATGCCCACACTTGAACACTCCTCACCACATTTATCTGCACTATGTATTTTTAATGAACTTGCAGCAAAACTCACATGAATATTGATAAACTTGATTTGTGACTTGTTTGAAATATCAGCAATCCTTGGTTGGTTGGTCGGTTGTAGAGAACTGACAAATGTGGGGAGGTAAATATGAGCATGGTGGGCCGTGGGGGAGATGCGCGGCAGGCCCAAAGGATAAGGATCAGATAGGCCACGTTATCAGTTGATGGATGTACGAGGCTTCACACTGGATTATCATTTGGATTTTGGAATAATGGATAAGGACGTCGCCTGACAGGTTGTGGAAGCTACTACAATATAAGAAGGGGAGGCATACTAGTGTGAAGCTGTGACAGAGAACTGAACACAACCTGACAATGTGACGCCCAGAAAGGATAGTTGACACTTATCAGGTTATGACTGGTTTGAAAGAATGAGAAAAGCTTTCAAGAGCTTTTGAATACATAGATTTGGATATTCTTGTGGTGGATATTTGTGCTATAATTTAGCTATGTTGGAAAATGGCAGATATTTAATAAAATTAGAACATAAAATACAATGGTGTTGAAACTAGTGTTACTTTAATAGCTATAAAGAAGAGTGAGAAGCAGAATCCATTGTTAAAATAAGTCTAGACCAGGATGAAGTAGAAATGCATAACAGAATAACATTACATTATAGAAGGCAGGATAGCAGGATGCTGATTAGAGGCACAAGATTTAGATGGAAAGTTATCTGCTGACACTAGAACTTAAATAAGCAAAATTGTAACACAAACTAAGAGCTATGGGAAGTTGAGACCATGATCCATGCCCTGTCAACTTGCTTTAAATTTAATACAGGAGTAAACTATAGTAATGTTGGCACATTGGTGGTCCCTTAATCATTTAATCAATGATCAATGGATACAATAGCCAACTGATGAAGTGGGTCCCATCAACCGTGAGAAGGAAGTGTTTAGCACTCCTTGAAGGATAACTACATGCTAAGGAGTTAGGGAGGAAAGGCAACAGCCAGCTGACAGCCATGACAGGGAAAGCCCAGGACATGGGCAGGGTGTGGAAGTATGACTTACCAAGAGGGTTGAGGACAGGACTGCCTCCAGGAGAAATGGCACGTACCCACCAACACCAGCTACAAAGCTGTAGCTAGGGGCAGGCACAGCGGTCATCACACGCCCACAACCACCACACACAGTGCCCAGACACATGAACAAAAGCAACACTCATCATGGGCTAATGTGTTGTTTAAAGTTAAAAGAACTGCTGTGGTGGCAAATGTAATTGTAAAAATGAATATAGAAAGAGTTGAAAAATGGTTGAAAAAGAGCAAGTGTGTGGGGTTTAGGGCAGTGTGCACCACTAGGATCAGGACTTTCAAGGATAACAGGTAAAGGACAAAGGAGGACTTACCACGCACGAATGGAACTGCACTTAAGGCATCAACAAAATTTAAGGGACAAAAAATGGCAAGACCTGAAGCCAGTCATAAAGGTAAGGAATACTGAGGTTTTGGTCGGAATTTATTAGGACCGCTTGAATGTGGAGAGCAGAGGCATGCAGGCCCCTGCTTGCAGCTTGTTTACGAGAATGACGGAAACGTGTACATACCTTCTGTCCTTACGAGCGCTGGAACCTCACAGTACTGTGGAAATAGACCCACACACGTCAACACAATTACCAGTGGGCGGTTGTGCCACTATGCTCCTCATGAACCAGTCATTATCAGCAGTAAATGAACACTAAACATTTATACTCTAATAGTTTTACTTGACATGTTCCACTCAGAGTAAGTATGGAAAAAGCACAACCCTCCACTTGGCATACAGAGTTAGCCTAGTTCTCTGGATGAGTGTTACAAAGACAGAGTTAACTCGGGCAAGAGATGTTTGGGCAAAGTGGAGTGACGCGAGGGCTGAGGAGGGCTGAGGGTTGAGGACTTGCGTTTACCTGGTGTTAATGAGGTACTGCGCGAGGGCAACCTGGTCCGCATTACCCTTGATACTGATAGTCCTGTCTTGCTTGCTGGCTTCTTCTGACCCATCATCATATTTGCTGATAGTGATCATAGCCCCTGTGATTTGCCTGTAAAGAAACACATGAGTAACTTCCAGACAGAAATGGTGTAAATATTAAGATGCATTATGATGTTTTTGTTTGGGATGACAAGAATACATTCAATTATTTTTTCAAGATATTACAGTGGGTGCTCAATTATTCAAATTACATGGGTGCAAAGCCTCAGTCAGAAAGACATGATCTAGTTCTGGTTTGTGGACCACTTCAATAGAAAGTTACTATTTTATACCAAAAGCTGAGAAAGACAATCACATAAAAATCAATCTGAACATTAACAAGCATAATTTAAAAATCCACGTTTCTTAACCAACTTGTACCAAACAAAGAGGACCAAACCAAACTTACATCAACTCATCATATACTTGTACCAGGAACACAAAACACTGTTGGAAGCATTGAGAAAGAAGGTTCAGAGAAAGTGGTTGGTTACCCCTTATCTCTATTAAGCATGATGTTATTAGCCCTGCATACATGGATCATAAATAAAAATTGCATAGACAATTTGTGATGGAAAGTGAAATCTGCAAGATCTTGCAGTTTTTGATGGGAATGAAGCCAAAGTCAGTAGCAGAGATCAAATGAGCACCAGTAAGTAAAAGGGCACAAGTGCCACCCTGGCCAAAAATGGCTTTTCATTATATGCATATGTATTTTTTTTGTATTTGTCTTTTCATGGAAAGACTAAAGTGCATTGTGGTTTAAAATCGCCGAGAGCAATAAATTTCTCTACCTTAGGATGTCACGTCTGGTCTGAGGAGTGACACAAACAATAATCATCTGTGAGAGGTAAACCCCATTTAAGCTCAAGAAATAGGTCCTATATGTCATGATAAATGTTTTGATAAGATAACTATGCCAGTTATTAAGTCATTTTCAGGAATTTCTGTTAAATAGGAAACAATGTTGCACAAAATGCATAACATTCAGAAACCTATTGGTTCTATTCCCGTGACTTCGATCTTTATCAAATATATTGAAAATTACCTAAAATTGTCTTAATACATGTATAAATGATAACTACCTACATGAGAGTATGGAGGAGGTGAATGTATTCAGATATTTAGGAGTGGACGTGTCAGCAGATGGGTCTATGAAGGATTAGCTAAATCACAGAATTGATGAGGGGAAAAGGGTGAGTGGTGTACTTAGGAATCTGTGGAGACAAAGAACTTTGTGGAAGCAAAGAGGGGAATGTATGAGAGTATAATTATACCAACATTCTTATATGAGTGTGAAGCATGGGTGGTAAATGTTAAAACGAGAAGGCTGGAGGCAGTGGAGATGTCATGTCTGAGGGCAATGTGTGGTGTGAATATAATGCAGAGAATTCGTAGTTTAGAAATTAGGAGGTGGTGCAAGATTACCAAAACTATTATCCAGAGGGCTGAGGAGGTGGGTTCGGACATGCAGAGAGAATGGAACAAAACAGAATGACTTTGAGAGGGTATAAATCTGTAGTGGAGGGAAGGCAGGGTAGGGGTCGGCCTAGGAAAGTTTGGAGGGAGGGGTTAAAGGAGGTTTTGTGTGTGAGAAGCTTAGACTTCCAACAAGCATGCGTGAGCATATTTGATAGGAATGGGGTGTGAGCAAAGTAATATTTAGGAAGGTATTCAGGGAAATCGGCAGGCTGGACTTGAGTCCTGGAGATGGGAGGTACAGTGTCTGCACACTGAAGAAGGGATGTTAATGTTGCAGTTTTATAACTGTAATGTAAGCATGCTTCTGGCAAGACAGTGATGGTGGGAATCAGTCGATGTGTTAATAAAAAAAAAAAATGAAACTCACTGAAAAAACTAAAGAAATATCCCACAAAATACAATTTGAGTGATCCAAATATCTTCATTAGTTTTAAAAATTGTAACCTGTAAAATATGAACAAGTTTTCTCAGTAGTATTTTAAAGTTGACATTTGCACTACTTAACTTGCCAGCACCTCAAATACAGTAGCATTGGCTGGCTGCCACAAAACTCAATGATTTTCTTATTCATGATCCCTCAGTATTGCTGATTTTTGCTGTTTAATTCTTTAGTTATTACTACATTTTAAGTCATATCTGCAATGGTCTATTAAGTTTTTCTATTTTCATTAAAAGGAACCAGATCCTTTTAGTTATTCAGTTCTTTAACCCTTTCAGGGTCTACGCTGTAGTTCTACAGCTTTGAGTTGTGGGTCCAAACTGTAGAACTACGCCAAAATTCTAGCAGCCTCAAATTTAGCCCGAGAAGGCTGGTAGGCCTACATCTAAGAGAATGGGTCTGCGTGGTGTGTGTGCACTATAAACAATAATTCTAGGCACCTTCATGGCATTGTGGGAACACTACCTCAGTAAGCTTTGTTCACCATGCCTCGCGGCAAGGCAGCTCTCACTCCAAAGCGAATTGGGACTCTTCCTAGCTGATAGTCGACTCTGAATGAAGAGGAATTCTATGGTTCTGATCGATTAGTGACCGAAAGCAATGACCAGGATATCAAAAATAGTGTGGAAAATCCTGATGATCCTCGACCTTCTACCTCTGGTGTGGGCACGTCTCAGTCACATTCAGTTGTACCTCGTCACAAGAGAAAACTAATATTTTTGCATGGCCAGGCCTCAGACTTGAATAATGGTGATGATAGTGATGTGGACTTTGATTTTACTGCTCTTCATGACCATTCAAGTAGTGATAGTGATGAATCATATTCACCAGTGAAGAGTTAGTATACACGCCGCCGCATGTGCTCGGGTACTGTTCCATGTGCAGTGCCAAGGGGACAGAGTACATCCCGTGGCCCTACACCAGGAATAGACAGTGAAAGTGAGGATGATGTGACTACACTTGGCATGGATAGACCACGAGCATCAGTAGGTGGTGGTAGTGCCACGGCCACGCATGACTCACCAGCCCAGGCTGGGACCCATGCCGCTGACTCATCAGATCCAGGACAAAGCAGAGCATCATCCACCACCACACCACAACCAGCTTATGATGTCCAGTATCCACCAGCAAACTGCATCTGGGATTGGCAGCAAAATCCCAATTTTGTTCCCAATCCCCAGCAGTTTGATGACTCTCAAAGTGGAGTCCTACCAGCTTGTTCCCTTGGAAACACTGCAAATGAACTGGAATTCTTTGAACTATTCTTTGACCAGCCCTTGATGGAAACTTTGTCAGGGAAAGTAACAAATATTTTGAGTACACCATGGCAAATACGATCATATCACCACAGTCAAGACTACACCTGTGGAAAGAGACAACTGTGGCTGAAATGTATTTGCTTTTTTCAACAATAATGCTTATGCCTCATGTCTATAAGCATAATATAAAATCATACTGGTCCACAGATCGGCTAATTTGTACCCTGCCCTTCAGTGAAATCATCCCGGTGAACAGCTTTATCCTACTGTTACGCATGTTGCACTTCTCTGACAAAACCAGGCCTGACAGAAATGACAGGTTATACAAGATTAGAAATGTTTTTATGCATCTTGGACACTTGACACACCCATTGAAATTTGGCCTCTGGACCCTGAAAGGGTTAATATACCTGTATTCTATTTCTAACATTATCAGATTTACACTGTCACTTCCAATCTGCTACTGTCATCACCATTTCACTCACATTACAACACAAGTATACCTATTCAAAATTTTTTTCATATCCCATAATTTATGCCCATACAACATTCCTTAAGGATTATATATCGGTTAACTGGACTCAAGTCCTGGAAGTGGGAAGTACAATGCCTGCACTTTGAAGGAGGGGTTTAGGGTATTGGCTGTTTGGAGTGACATCTAAACTGCCATATCTGGGCACCTCCACAAAGACAGTGATTATGTGTGAATGATGGTGAAAGTGTTTTTCTTTTTTGTGTCACCCTGCCTCAGTGGGAGACGGCCGACGTGTTGAAAAAAACTAAATTCCTTGCCATTGGCCATAAATTTCTGCAAATTTAGACAAAAGGGCCAGCCCTTGTGGCTTAGCACTTCTTTTTGATTATAATAATAGACAAAAGGGAAAACATCCCAACCATTTATGCTGAATTCTTTCATTTGATAGCCAGTAGGAGGGCAAGAGAAATTACTGGCAGTGTGGAATATATCACCACCCTCTACTGCATTAGTGGTGTTTACATCCCAACATTTTACCCATCACAATTGAATTGCCTGTTATTTATGATTAATGCATGAGGAGGCTGATAATGTGGTGTTCCATGGAGAGAGAGAGAGTACTGAGGGTGGTCGAGTATATTGTGGGAGATGCAGTACAGTGCTGCACCTTCCTTTACAGTCGACATGAGTCGTACTCCCTGCAAATACACAATACGTACTACATATACAGTGTAACTTCTTATAAGGCAACACTACGTGTAATCTTGTCTAAATACAAATGAAAGAGTGCATTCTTCTTTGCACAGTGCCTGCAAAAGCTTTGGCAGTATGCTCCATAAGCATGACAGAATAAAGTTACTTGCAAAATCATGGCAGACCATGACTGAAATTGGGTCTAAGGGGTTAGGAGATTCACTGTCACCCATGCTGCCTACAGTTGCCTTCTGGGAGTATTACATGCCTTATTGTGTTTATCAAATGATTTTTAATGTTCTCATCATCCCATTTCTACAATGCCACAAAAAAAAAAAAAATAAATATCTGATAGCATTGAAAATTTTTAATTTTTGATAGGTATTAGTGTAATACGATGCAGACTGCCCACATTTTTGGTCTGAGAAAATCCACCGTTCATAAAATTAGAGACAAGAAGAAAAGAGAGATTGTGCAGTGAATAGCACAAATCATGACCTAGTAAAAAGAATGTCAAGAGATCAATGCTTTAGAGTAAAACAGACAAAAGACATATTACAAAATACTTGAGCACTCAAGTATAACCATCAACTACTGACAACTCTGGTAATTACAATAATTGTGTTCACCCCTGTATCTGACTGGTGAAGTCTGCTTTGCAGGCGAAATGTTTCACCTGCCATGAACCTCAGCCAAGTAGGGCCACATCAACCCTCTCCACACATTTCCATGTCAACAGGCAATGGCAACTAGAATGTAAAAATTATAAAGATAAACTATAAATTTGTACCTAGCAGAAATGTCACCTTTGTGCCATTTATAACAATTCTGGTATATTTTTAAATGTTTATACAGCAGTGTACTGTACATTGTAATACACAGAATAGAGGAAATCACCTCTAATATACATTATTTAGGTATGCATACTGGTCAGAGAGCCCGTCGTAAGTCCGTGCTGTCGTTAAACGAGTATGTCGCTAAGTGAGGAGAGGCTGTAACGTATTAACCCTATACCGTACATAACAAGTCATTAGAAATAGAATTAAATTAGTAAAACATTTTTCTCATTTTATACTATTTTTTGTATTTCTAATGACATTTTATGCTTTATACATTAATGTAACTCTCCTCAGATTACCACCTTATTTCATATAGGTCATTTGTACACCTCCCAACTTGGCTAGTTTAATTTTTTTTTTTTTTAATATACTAGCTGTCTCCCACTGAGGTGAGGTGACCCTAAAACAAGAAGAAGAAACTTTCACCATCACTGTCTTGTCAGCAGTGCACTGATATTACAGTTCAGATGTCCCTCCTGGAAATGAATACTGATGACTACTGATTTTTCAGCAGAAAGTTGATTGTACTACATTATTGTATTTTTATATATAGTACAATACAGCCTCTCCTCACTTAGCGACGTCCTTGTTTACCGATGCCTCGTACTTACGCTGGGCCCTCTAACCAGTATTCATACCTAAATAATGTATATTAGAGCTGATTTCCTCTAATCTGTTTATTTCAATATACAGAACACTACTGCATAAACATTTAAAAATATACCAGAAATGTTATAAATGGTGCAAAGGTGACATTAAAACAATGTCAATGATGGATGACACAAACTCACTACCATTATAGTATGCTCCTCACTTGGTCTTAGGAATGCAACTCCATTGTTAAGTGAGGAGAGGTTGTATTGCATACAAGAAATAAATACACTGTAAATTACTGTAGTCAGAATAATTATTTTCAGACTGCACTTTCACACTGGCTCTCACTGTAGCTTTGACTCCAGCAAAAATTTGGAACCTCTTGAGGTTCGTTCTACCTCGTATTTAAATTATCTGAAATTAATTGTAGTGTTGAGTGCATGACATGGCATTCATCTGTGAGAGGACTCGCCATCATATGACTGAGCAGAACCCATAACCTGCTGCAAACATCGCAACACACCTTCAAAACCATCATTGGGTGACCAGCCACCCATACCCCACACATTCTCACTGACTACCTGTTCCACAATTCTGTACACCGGCATACCTGTGACACTTTCAACTCTTCAGCACCCACCACACATCTGAAATGTCTAAGAATTTTCTTTATGATTAATGAAAGAGGCAATACCTGTAACCAGTTACAAATGATAGTCTACTCATGCATTCCAGCCCGAGGTGTGATAGATCTCTTTGCTAAAGACCTGGTCAACCAGGCTGTTGATGTAAATGGTCCATAGGCCTAAATAGTCATACATGGCTGATAAGGCACTTGCAGGAGGTAGTGATCCAGTTTTCTTGTGAAATCTACTGCCTTTGTTTCAGCAACATTTCTTACAAGTGCTGGTAAAAGGCTTCGTAGTTGGGGATCACTTGACAATTTTCTCTAATTGAGCTTCTGGCATTCTTGCTCTTCACCTTGTTTATTCTATATTTCCTCCTATATTTCTCACAGGTAAGTTATGGTAGTGTAGACTGGGAACCTGCTCAAGTATATTCCAAGTGCTCTAAGCATTTCCCATGTATTATTAAATGTTTTACTGATCCTGTTTGGGCAGTAATGACCTTAAATTTTTCAGCTGTAATATTTATCCAACCTTGAAAATTATATGAGAACAAAAGTGTTTCAGTGGAGGAAGGGTGGAGAGGTAAAGTGTGACCACCACTATGGTTCTGACTTTCCCTTCCAAATGTCCATCCACAACACTATGGTACAATGTCTCACATTTTGAATGGTCTGCAAGACTATTTTTATGATCCATGTATAAAAGTAACAATGTGCAGTAGTGTTTTCTTGAGGAAGCATAGCCTTGCCACCACATACTTAGGCATCATCATCTTATTCCTTACTCTCTAAAACTCAATACATCTGATTAACCTGTATGATACATCAGACAAGGCAATAATATAGTGTTTACTTGTAGTGATATCTCCCTCACTGCCTCCCAAACTTAATGCTTCTTACATTTTTCCTGCTCAGCAGCAGCTATTACTATGAGGGGAGAAAATAACAGCACCACTTGCTGGTATCTACACTCCCAAGAGGAAGGTGGTCTAAAGTATATTGATATTTGTGATGGATGAGGCAAGAACTACCAAATGCTGCCACACAGCCCTGCATATTCTTCCATAATCCTGGGGTCTTGAGGAACCTAACAATTTTAAAATCAGAGGCTTAGCTGTATGTGGTCATATGGTGTAGATGGGGGGAAAGAGGGAGGCATTCCTATTTGTTTGGTGCAGTTTGGTCAGGGAACTTTAGATTTTTAAATTATGATTGTTGAGAGGTGTTCAGTGTTATTTTAATCTTTTTTTCCTATTCTTTTTGGATCAATGCTGATATATATGAAACTTCGCATTGATGTATTACAGGTCTCCCTCCACATTTGCGAGGGTTAGGGGATCAAGAACCTCACCAATGTTGAAAAGTTGCGAATGTTTGGTGCCCAAGTATATTGTAGGGAAATATAATACCATTTACTTGGCCTAACAATACTACTTCCTTAACATATTGAACCATGAACAATCATAAAACACATGATATCATCATAAAATATTGTACTAGTGCCAACCCTTTGGTAAAAAAGGTGAGAGAGACTATAGAATTCAAGAAAGAGCTCATAGCAGAGTACCAAAGTGGAGGAGGAAGAGAGAGGGAAGAATGTGCCTTCTTCACTGATTCAACAATATGTATGATAATAAAGCAGCATGAGTCAATAAAGGCTATAGCACCAGCCAGCGATAAAGTGTAGCATTAACAGTGTAGAAAATAAGTTAAGTGATAATCGATAGAAAAAGGACAGCATGAACCTAACTCCTCCAATTTTGTTGGAGTTATATAGGGCTACTGACAACACTGCTGTCTAAAGTCTTTACCACCTCCACCACCACTATGTATGGCTTATGTCTCAGTGACCCTTATACATCCAACACCACCACTTGTGACATACTTAATGATGTATTTTATTCATTCTAGAGTATCTGTCATGTTTCTATGTTATTATTATTGTTTATTATGTCATAATAGATGAATTATGACAGATAAATAAGCCATAGAGTTGATATTAGTGTCATATTGAAGGACTATCTTGTCCTATCTCCAAACAAACTCTGCCACCTGCCACAATTCCTAACATATGTAATGACACATTTTAAATATGATTGGGTGGCTGGGAATTTGCAAATGTTCGAAGCCCGCAAAAGTGAAAAACGCGAATGTTGAGGGAGACCTGTATACTGAACTATCCCCCTCCCCCCAAAAAAAGCCTCTTGTATTATGAGTAAGTTATGTACCCGTTTTTATATCCAATTAATAGCCGTATGGCTGAGGTAGCACCCACTGTATCTCTTTAATAGCATAATTTAAAAATTTAGGTACTCACCTGATTTCAGCAATTTTGGTGCCACCCTTTCCAATGATGCATCCTATGAGTTCATTGGGCACAGTCATCTCATGAGTTTGGGTACCAGGTCCAGAACCAGCAGGAGTCCTGAGCTGTGACCCTGCCAGGGCTGCTAGTGCTGAACAGAATAATTCCTATCATTAACATTTAAAAACTTTTTATATCAAACAAGTGAATAACCAATTGAATAAAATGTCAAGTACGTTACGTTGAATATTACACTACTGAAATTTTTTCAAGAATTTTATGTAAAATGACATGGCCACTATATTTCATTTACAGTGCCACCTGGGGGTCACCTTTACATTTTTTGTACATTAAACAGAGAAGTATTAGTAAAGAATAACATTTTATTTAGCATTTAAAAACTGTGTTTACACAAACTTTCTTCCCAAATACATACAACACATGCCATCTAAATCAGCATTGCTGATGAAATATTTATGCCAACTGGCAAACTGCCATTGATGTATAATATGCCAAAATTATAGGGCCTCTAAAATGGTCCCATATGGCCTGGTTAGGTCTACATCAGTGAAAGATCTGCACTATGGGAGTGTGCAGTATAAAAAAAAATTATGGTGAGTGCAAGGCAAAATGAGTCAAAAATCCCAATTCCTTAGTATTACTCAATAATAAAAGTGAAATATCATACAACACATATATGGGTCACCTTCATTTCTCCACAAGTACTATGATTTTACTCATTCTTGTATTATTGCACTTCTAAAATCAAGGAGGATGTGGCAAGATTTCTTTTTTTTTTTTTTCAAAACTGAAGGCAGTGAGAGCATGTTTATTTATATAACTTGTTTTTCACAAAGTGTCATTCAATAAAGACCTTGTCAAAACATATACAGTACATCTGAGTGAATTACAGAATCAGCACATTGCTTTTAAAGAAACTGCACAAAGACTTCAGCACATAATGCCAAATGGGTATGTTAAAGAGAGTACTTTAACCCTTTCAGGGTCGACAGGCCGTCTCCCAGACTTGTTCTCAGGGTCGCCAAATTTAAAAAAAAAAAAAAATTACTTTTTTCTTATGAAAAGATAGAGAATCTTTTCCCGATCACAATGACACCAAAAGTATGAAATTTGACGGACCAGGAAAACTAGAATACCATCATAAATACCCTAAGAAAATACAGTGCAAAGTCACTGTTTTAAACCAAAAACACTGTCAAAGTTTTTTTTTCTCATTATGCACTGTGTGCTGCAGTTTTTTTTTTTTATACTGGGCACACTGACCACACAGACCCATTCTTTCGTATGTAGGCCTACCAGCGTTCTCTCACTAGATTTGAGGGCGCTAGAATTTAAGTGTACTAGTACGTCAAAAACCCTGGTGCGTAAGCCGTACTAGTACATCAGAAACCCTGAAAGGGTTAAGGAGGGTGTACTGTGATATGCTTATAGAAAAAAGCTACCAATATATTTTGATGAAAATTTTCTAGTTAAATTCTATTTTCACACAAGATTTCTTTGTTTTTTGAGATATTCCTATCACTTGAAATGTGATACCTATATTGGACTACTTGTAGCTAGCACTAACAGTCTGGTTGATTAGGACATAAGGGAAGTGACTCTCAGAATCATTATTAGGTAACCCCTGGTCATTTTGTCCCAAAACTAACATTTACAGAGAAAACTTAGTAAAGATGTTCACCAAATGACTAACAAGCAATGGGAATACAGGATTGTCCTGCTTTATAACATTTCACTAATGCAATGGTTTTCAATTATATCCCTTCTTCATTTAAAGACTTCCTACAATAAATATATTCACCACTCACCAAAAGCTCAGGATGAAAATATTTTAAGGTAAGTAATGTGTGAACTGTACATGCATTGTTTTAGGCCTAGCTCTATTGCTCACTTAATATATGATAATGTAAACATGTTATCAGGCTTTTATATGCATTTGAAAGTGAAAAATGCTTTTCACTTTTCAGCAGTAGCCCAGAATCTAATCTGCTGTATAAGCAGGTCCCTCCTGTAGAACAAATAAACTCACACAGTACTGAGGAATCTTTGTACTCTCTACTTCATAATTTATCATTTATTTTCAGTATTATTATTATCAGTGGGAAGCACTAAACCCACAGGGATCATACAGAACAAGGAATGGGAGGCAATCAGGTCTGAACCAAGGGGAGAATAAGGGAAGAAATCAGTAAAGCCTAAAAAATAAAAAATTGTTACAGAAAAAGCTTTACATATTTTTCCCTTTTTTCCACCCTTGTAATTCCTGACAAAATAAGACATTATAGCTTCGGCTGCTCTTACTGTACTCACTAGCTTACAACTTTACTTTATGCTGACTAGTCCATAATCACACATTTTCAAGAAAATGGCAATTATAATAATGGAGAAGAACTAAGCACTTAAGGATCACACAGGGGCTGGGTAATGGAAGGTAATCTAAAGGGAAGGTAGCTCCAGTTCACTGGAACAATCCCATCACTTTCATCAATGCAAATCCCCATGAAGGGAAGAAAATGGTGGTAAATACAAGGTAGTTTCCCTGTTTGTTGACAGTTAAAAGATTACTGCCCTATTCAACTGAAAGCTACCCTGGACCTTGGAATATGAAGGATATCTTAAATGAAGTACAGTACTGTATACCAAATTTCATTCTGATCTGAGCAAGTTTTTGTTTCCTCAGAATAAACATACATGAACCAATCCCCAATACTGGCAAGCCTCAGCATTCACTATATGATTAATAACAGAAATACACAGTATGTTATTGTTCTCCAAAATTTCTTAATTTTTCATTCACATTTAGTGTAAATACCAAGCAATTATCTTTTTGTTTTTAAACACACTGGCTATCTCCCACTGAGGTAGGGTGACTCAAAAGAGGAAACACATTCACCATCATTCATTAAATCACTGTCTTACTGGAAGTGTGTACACTAAGTGTTAACTATTTTTTATTCTGGAAGACTAAGTTCTCAAAAACCACTGACATAGAAGTCTCAAATTGTTTAAATTTTTATGAAAAAAAAAAAAAAAAACTGACAAATCTTGGTGATAATTTATAAATGTTGGTTTTATTCTGCTTAGTGCAACTTCTAGTATGTATATGACTGTGGTTTGAGTCCTCATTTAATAAGCTTAATCCACACAGTAGGCTGGTTTAGTCACCCATTTACCCTTGTGAAAACTGATATTACAAGCAAATTCATCTGGTATATTATCAGATTATACTGCCTTATTGTCACAAAATTTTTTACTGTTGGATTATCTTAAATATAAAATCACATTATAATCAGAATGATCATCTTACCTTATTTATTTTTTTTTCCAAAATGTTGTACAATATCTTCATAGCCCACATACATTTCAGAATGAGGCTAATCACATTGAGACTAATCTTAGATGTTAGTAAGCCTTGACATTAACTAAATGGTCAAAAGTAACATAGGGGAAAGACAAAAATATACAGTAACAATTTATAATAATATAATATCTTTATTGCTACAAGTCTATGTACATGGTATACAGGCCTAGCTAACATCAATGACATTACTATATAGAAAGCCGCTTATTATGCAGAGCATTTCGAGCAAATTAGGTCAGTTTTATCCCAGGATGTGATCCATACCAGTCGACTAACACCCAGGTACCCACTGTACTGATGGGTGAAGATAAACAATCTGTGTAAGGAAATACGCCCAATGTTTCCACCCTTGCCGAGAATCAAACCTGGACCTTCAGTGTGTGACGAGAGTTTTTGCCACCAGGCTACAGGCCACAATTCACTGTAAATAGCTATTATTATTACCGTATTTCACGGCTTTTAAGACTTGTTTTAGTTTCAATGGCTCGGCATCAGACATAACTGGAAGAGCTACAGCCCACCCTACACCCCAAACTTATAGCTCCCATCACTGACCTTCAGTTTATAGGATGCAGGGCAGTTTTTGGAGACATTTTATGGAAAAAAAAAAATGCTTCTAAGAAGCCACGAAATACGGTACATTCATGGGGAATGCCAAACTTAGTGACCTATAATTTTTTCCAGTCTCATACATGCAAAGAAGTCTTCTTTATGGATATATTTCTTTTAAGACTGGCATGAACAAATGTGATATAAATAAAGTATTGAGGATAATGACTCAAGTAAGAACTAGAAATAACAGATTTAAATTAGATGAATTTAGATTTAGAATGTAAGAAAGTACTAGTTTTCAAATAGAGTTGTCGATGCATAGAACAATCTGCTAAGTAGGGTAACAGAAGCTAAAATTTGGGTAGCTTTAAAAAGAAATTAGACAAATACATGTACAGTGGACCCCCGCATAAACGATCACCTCCGAATGCGACCAATTATGTAAGTGTATTTATGTAAGTGCGTTTGTACGTGTATGTTTGGGGGTCTGAAATGGACTAATCTACTTCACAATATTCCTTATGGGAACAAATTCGGTCAGTACTGGCACCTGAACATACTTCTGGAGTGAAAAAATATCGTTAACCGGGGGTCCACTGTATATGAGTGAGAAAGGTTGGATTTGATTAGAACCTGAAGTATTGAAGCTAATGCTTGCATAGCTTTGGGAAAAGGTTAGATAAGTGGGTGGGTGGGAATGGTTGGTTTAGAGAAGGCTATGCATTGTACAAAAGAGTAGGCCTGCTCAAGTGTTCCTCCTCTCTTATGTTCGTATCATGATTACAGACGTAATTTAAAAGAATTTTTACTTTTGCTTGCTGTTACCCATTAACTTACGACTTTGAGGCTATGATATACTAGGTAAAAAAAACAGTATTTGAAAGTGAAGTGAGGGAGCCATGAATGAGTTATCAGTTCCCCCATGTTGGTTCAAGAAAAAATTACCAAATGATTTCACTAAAATTCCCCTATGCTTTAGTGTTAGTGGCTTTAAATACATTTTACTGAAATTACTTGTCTCCACTCACTCCTATCTAACATGCTCATAACCCATGCACTTTTTATTTTTCCCCTTCCAACTGTTCTTGAGATGATCTTTATATCTCATCTATTCTGCCCGAGATTTATACACACTCTTCATCCTCTCTAAATGCCCAAACCATTTCAACAATACATTTCCCTCTCAACCTTCAAAAAAATGAAATGAAAATCAGTAACTGTTGTTCCACCACCAGCTTCCTTACCAGCAAACAGGGTGTAGAAGTGGCACAAAAATTAATTATTCATTCCAAATTTATTACAATCTCATGATACTTAGTGGAATTCAGCCACAAACCTCACTAAGTATACTTAACCCAGGATAATCCAATAAAGTCAAACAATGTGACTTATTTCCATATTTTGAAGAGTATTACACTCTGAAACAATTGCAATATTATAAGTATTTCTTATACATAGTGTTAGAAGACTAAAGTAGTAAAATAATAGAATAAAAACACAAAGCTAACAAAGCCTGACATTGCTGAAAGTGAAGCAATGTCAGGCTAAGTATTTCCCCATGTTTGAAGTGTTAAACCGTCTTTAAACACATCAAATATTACAAGAAACTAGTGTACATAGTATTAAACATTAAAAGCATTTCAAAAACAGAAAATTTGATGTCAATAAATTGTAAAACATAAATATCGCTGGAGCAGTTATGCTGCTGTTGCTGATGAGTGATAATTTTTCTGCCAACTTCTACACAACCTAAATTCTTAAGTTTTTACCAGATTCCACTTTATCTTATTCAATTCATAAAAATGCACTCTTTCACTCTATAAGAAAAAGATTTCTTTTTCAAAATCTTCCCCCACACAGGAATTTTTCTTTCTCGGTACGTATGCCACAGTTGAAGGGTTAATGGACCCTGATTTAACTGATATCAGATGCCACAAAAAATTTAGCTGGAAAGAGGCAGGATCTGATTTTTCTCAGTTTGTACTAGTGTGTCCAGTAGTCTCTAAATCCAACAGACCAAGTCCACTGCATCAGGATATTGTCGGTGTGCCCAGAGTAACTGCATCTAGGACCTATCCAATTTCATTGTTCACATGATGAGCCATGGGCTACAGTGCCCTAGTTTCTTATTACTGTCAGGGCACACTCATGTAGTCATCATTCGGTCTCAGATTTTTCCTGGATTTTTCGCTATCTTTTAATACTTTATCTTTTCTTAGTTGTCTCTGTATTAAGATTAAAGAAGCTACTCATGGCAAAACTTTTTCTTTAATGTCAAAATTGTATGTGTGTGTCTTCCACAATAGGAAAAAATTATTAAAAGCAGTAAAAAACTTTAATGTGGAGAGTGAGGCTAAACTTTGTGTACATTAAGAGAAAGGGAGCAGAAGGAGGGGGAGGGGAACTTTCCCAGTAAAATAAGCCTTAGACAAGGATGTGTAGTATCACCATGATTCTTTAACATGTTTAGGAGAGGTGAGGGATTAAAAGATAAATCTAATACAAAATGGGAGTTGTCAGTTATTCTCTGCCAATGACACAATTCAGTTGCGAGATTTTTAAGAAAAATTGCAAGGATTGATGGAAGAATTTGAGAGGGTCTGTAAAAGAAGGAAATTAAAAATGAATATAGAAAAGAGCACAGAAATGAGTAACAAAAGTTCTAGGCCATGAAAAGTTGGATATTAAATTAGAGGGAGTATGAAGGAAGTGAATGTGTTCAGATATTCGGGAGTGGATGTGTTAGCAGATGGGTCTATGAAAGACATGTTGAACCACAGAATAGATGGGAAGACAAAGGTAAAAGGTGTGTTGAGGCCTTTATGAAAGGAAGTTATCTATGCAAGCAAAAAGAGGAATGTAGGAAAGTATAATGTAAAAAAAAATTGTTTTTATATGGGTCTGAAGAAGGCTAGATGCAATGGAGATGTCATATTTGAGAGCAATGTGTAGTGTGAATATTATGCAAAGAATTTATAAAGGGATGCAGGGAAGCCAGTTAACTGGACTCGAGTCTGGGAGGTGGGAAGTCAAATGCCTGCACTCTAAAAGAGGGTTTGAGGATGCTGCAGTTTGGAGGGTTATCTGAATTTTGATGTCAGCACACTTCTGGCAAGACTTCAATTAAGTGAATGATGCTGAATGTATTTCCTCTTTTTTGAGTCACCTTATTGCAGTGGGAATGGCTGGTTTCATAAAAAAAAAAAAAAGAAGGGGTGTAAGACATGGAAGAGACATGTACAAAGAAACATGTGCAATAAACAAATTCTTAGGTTATATCCTACCATCAGCTGTATTGCCAGCATGGGGGTTGACACCACCACCTGGGTTAGCACCAGCTAGGCTACCCAGGCCCAACAGTCCTGCTAGTGGAGAGTTGTTGCCCAATTTGCTCATCTGGAGATAAACAGACAATTTATTAGGTTACAACTGCTTTTATCATGGTAAATGATAAATTACATTCTGACATGAAAACCATAAATTAACATCCATGATTTTATACACTAATAAAAAATAAGAGAAACATTTTGTCTAACCACAGTACAATACAGTACTGTTCTTGAAGTACGAACAGCATTATAAGATCAACAAGTTTACATGGTATTATTATTATTATTTATGTAATTTAAAAGCCTGAGCAAATACTTAGATTACTGGTATGTATAAATAAAATATCATCTTAATGTAGCACAGATACAGTATATAATCCCCAAGCCACCTCTGGGGGGCCCCTCCTGTTGGAGTGTGCGGCATGGGCCGGGCGGGACAGAGAGAGAGAGAGATAGTGTGTGAGAGAGAGCACGCGGGCAGCGCTGACTGGGTGTTGGGGGGCGCGGGCCAGACCTCTTCTTCAGACCTTTCAGGAAATCTTCTTTCTTTCAGGACTTATATATATGTACTGTATATATATATATTACATACACTATATATACATGTATATATATATATACACACACACACACACACTATGGATGTACAGTGGGTCGCCGCCTGATTATGGCCAAGGGATGATAGGCATAGCATAGATAGCACCACTCCTGACGCTAGCTAATCTTGGGAATGTGTCCTCTCCTTTAGTAGCTCTGTCAGGAAAGGCTTCCAGGGTGACAGTGGTAATAAGTAAAGGGCACCAACATTGAGGAATTGTATGTTAGTGAGAAAGCTGGGCAATGGGTTAAGGGAAGGAGCAATGGACAGGTTGCTATTAAAAGAATTTTTGTATTTGTGTAAAATATGAATAAGGAAATTGCAATAACAAAAATTCCTAATTAGTTGCAAATATTATTAAGATTCATAATAGTCTGTAAATGCTGTTAAAAACCTCACACACATTTTAGAGCTGTATGAATAGAACAGTTTAATAAAAAATATTAAGTCAGATAATTAATATATAATTCAAAGATTGAAGTAAAAAATTCCCCTTGATGCAAAATTTAGTTGAACCACCTTTTATTATAATAAGAACAAATTGTAAGATTAACATTATTTTATTACTGTTCCTGTCAAATTAAATATAATCTTAACACATTTATCTCAAATATTAGCATAATGCTAAATTTTAATCACAGATTTGAGAAATTTCAACAAAATGTATGTTTAATTAGCTTATGCAACTTCTCATGTTTAAGGTTTTCAATAGCTGTTTGTAGTGAACACTGTGTTTATTACTCAACCAAGTTGGAAGTAAGAGGTTGGGAATACTAAAATTAAAAGGCTAAGACGATCATGCAAGAGGGACAATACTGGTGTTGAGCTGGGAGTGTCAAGCGTCAAGCGTAGGGTCGAGGGAGACCAAAAATTTTCCAGCACACCAAGGTAATTTGCAAGGATACAACAAATTTTAGCCATTTCATATGAACCAACACCAGAACTAGCAAATTTTATTACTTTACTCTTTTATACAATAAAATCAAAATTATTCTTTTCTACAATATTTAATGGTTGGGCAAGTGACAATTACCTAGAAATTTTCTAATATATTTTAAAAAATTACAAGTTTTCTTTAGTGACTTAATACTGATAATAATACATGAACATAGTTGCCTTCTAACTGGGCTTTAATGCTTATGAGTATTCATTGCAGCTATTATATTCAATCCAGCTATCCAATTTTCAAGTTTGAAGGGTACAGGTTAAAGTCCCCTATGAGGGAGACATTAAGTGGTGCAGAGAAGGAGGGAATGTTAGGGCTTTCATGAGGAGATGTTAGTCGGTGTTGGCGGCACAAAGGGATCGAAGAGGCGTTGGCATGGCAGGGATGAGTGAGGAAGCCCCGCGCCCCACGACCCACCAGCAGGACCTGCTATGCACCTGTGTAGCTGTACCACCAGGTATCTACACCTGCCTCAACACCTAGCCCTGGCCACGCTGTCACTTACATTTCGAAGAATAATGCTATATCGAATATATCTAGAATTCACTGTAACACTATACGAATAGCCACGTACATGCAGGATGGCAGGCAGGTATCTATGGGCAGGTCATGAGTTAAAAGGCTAGGCTGTAAGGTTAGGGCTAGGGTTATATGGGTGCATCATGCAGGATGTGATCAGGTAGCACAATGGGCAACACTAATAAGGTCTGGTCGGGTATGGAACACGTCCGGATCAGGTCGGGTCGGATGGGCGGCCAGGAGCCACGGAGAGGGTCCAACTGGGCATGGGTCACACGGGCACTCGGGCGGGACACGGCGGTGTGACTTACATCCTGCATGTGGTGGAGTTGCGGCTGTGGCATTATGCCGATATGGCCGTTCTTCAAGTGTTCGGGTGGGTGGCCTGGCGGATGGCCCGGCGGATGGCACGGGGTCGTGATCTGCAAGTGCCCCGCATGGCATGGGTGGTGGCCCGCAGGCGTTATGATGGCGCCATGGTGTGGGGGGCCTGGGGAAGGCGCCGTGGAGACGGGACATGGGGGTAGGAGGGGGCTCAGGGGGGCCGCCATGAAGGGGCCGGGGGGCCCCCCAATTGGTGGTGGGGGAACAAAGGGCATAGTACTTACATCGGGCGCTGAGGGAACAGCATAATTACCCTGGATAGTATAGGCCTGGCCGCCGGCTAGGATCACCGGCCCACCGGCGACCTGGGGTTTGGGGCGGTAAGGGATCGTGGCGCCTTTGGGAGGGGACTGCAAAAAGAATTAGAAAATATATAAGTAACAGACTAAACCATTTATATAGCACAAACATATAGAACTATAATGGTACCCTACCGAAGTAATTTATTAACCTCGCAATAAATGATGTGGCAAAATCTGAACACTAGATTTACTTAAAAATTGGTGAGAAGATATTAAAAATCATAGCAACAGCATACCTCAAGCATGACGCAACAGATGTTGTAGACACACTGGGTGATTGAGTCTGAGGTGCCAGAGACAGTGACTGCACGCTCTGTTGAATTGGGCAGCATTTCAGAAGCAACTTGAATAGAAGCCCCTGTCTGCTCTCGAATTTCCTTTATTTTGGATCCCTGCTTTGCCAATGAGTGAACCACATTGGGAGGCAGGGACGATCAACCGTAAGGTGATGGGTGGACGCTGCTGTCCACCTCCACCACCAGCACTGCCATTGTTCTGGTACATCTGACCCAAGAACTGAAATCAAATATAATACATCATTTGTTGCAATATAATTATTTCACTGTATTGCAAGGATAAATAATCTTGATACTATAAACTTGTTTATCACTAGTAATAAAATATTACAAGCACTCAACATTCAGTAACAAAACTCCAGGTTTACTTTTATTTGTGCCAAGTAATTTGTGATTTTAAAAATTTACATCAACAGCATTTTGCAACATAAAAATTAATCCTCTACATATTACAGAACACTACTCTAGAAATTAAATGGGATCCATGAAGTTAGTAAAATGAATCAGCAGGAAATATTTATAAAATACAATCTTATAAACAAGACATGTTATAGTTCTGTCTCCACTTATGTATTATGAAAACTGTAATAGTCACAGTGCCAGTAATTGAGGAATGTTGTACCATGTCTCATTCATCATGGTGTGAAATACTTACTTTAAGCATTTCCATCATGTTCAATTTTGTTAAGTTTTCAGATAATTTTTATTTTAAAGCCCTATGTAGAAAATCCATATGTAATAGATTCTGAATATTCTGTCAAGTAAAAACTGCTAGCTATTCATTGCTAAGACACCTGATCAGAGATTGGGTTATGGTAATAACAATCTTAACAGTTTACACAAAAATATCACTAGAGTTCTAAAATTTTTTATTATATTTTGTGGGAGGATAAGAGGACTGAGATGGCCTCATTATGTAGCAGTTAACTGTGTTAATTGCCTTCAAAAGGAGGAAACTTTGCCAATATTCACAGTAGTGTGTGTGAGACAGATATGTGGTCTAGCAAACATCATCGATATGTGGTCTAGCAAACATCTCAAATGACCACCAGCCCCACCCACACACAGAACCCAGCAGTGCCAGCACCCCCACAACTGTTTAAGGCATTCCCTAACAATTCTGGACTTCTACAGCCTTTCCCTCCTACCTACATGCAAATCCTTTGTTAAATATCCACACATCCTCTCTTCATATTTTTACAGCACTTTCTCCAGTTCCCTCACATCTACCCCATTTCCATGCTATGTCATCTGTCTATCACTAAATTTGCAAATATGGTGGAACTTCGACTTACAAGTTTAATCTGTTCCATTACCTAGCTTGTAACTCAATTTGCTCATATATCAAATCAATTTTCCTCATTTAAATTAACTGAAATGCCATTAATCTGTTCCAGTGGAATTCCTGCTCTCGGGAGGCAGGACAAAATACTTAATATAAATAACAAAAAAAGGGCACAATACCGTGACTGGAACGATAAACAAATAACCCACACACAGAAGAGAGGAGCTTATGACTACGTTTCAATCTGACTTGGACCATTTACAAAGTCACACTAACGAAAAGGAGAGAAGGAGGGAGTATATATAGGCCAGGAGGTGGTAGTGGTAGTAGTGGAGGTAGAAGGTAGTAGTGGGGAAGGTAGTTTGGTAGAGGTGGAGCCAGTCAAATACTAAGAAAAAGGAGCACTGCAAGGGACCTAAGGGCCCACAGAGGGTAGGAGCAAGAACACAGAAGGATGGGGGGGGGATAAATAATGAAGGAACAAATACCCAAGGCAGAAGAAAAACAACCCTAAGGAGAAAGAGGAAAGAGGAAAGGGGAAGAGGGAGAAGAAGATTTGGAGCATTTTACAATGTAGTGGGAAAGGAAGGCATCTACAAAGACGAAGCCAGGACTAAGATTCATACAAGGAAAGTTGTGTATATGGGAGGATTCAGCCAGATGGCGACTGTTAAAGTTGGAAGTAGGGAAGACAGCTTTAGCAGAAGACCAGTCAATAGGATGACTGTGATCTCTGACGTGACAGAAAAGAGCATTGCTAGTGTCAGCAAGCCTAACACTACTTTTGTACTCCCTAAGTCTGTCAGAAAGAGATCGGCCAGTTTAATTGGTATTATGGTAGCGGGGTTCAATGATACATCTTGGAGGCTTCTTACTTTATTGCTAAGTTGTGGTGGGTACACAGGCTTGTGTGTTGTGCCCATGGCCCGAGAGGGCCATCCCACGAGAGAGCTACTAGGCCTTCCTGCTAGGCCGCTGTGTGAGAGTGAGTGTGTGGGACCAGCTTCCCACAGACCTGGACAGGCCCAGAGGGCAGCACTTCAGTGGTGCGAAATATGAACTAAGCTGGCAGACAGCATGGGCTGTCTACATGTGGGTCAGCAGGGCTGCCAACACCAACAGCCTGGTTGACCAAAAGAGTATGAAAAAGAGGTATGCACATCTGTGGTTTATGAAGCTAAAATAGGATCAACAACAACTGGACAGAGGATAAAAAGGTGTATTGCTAATACAGCACTGAAAATGACAGGTGCTGAGCAAGTTTTTACTGTGACACTGTTTTGCTCTATGTAGAGTTGAAGCTGATTAGTTTGATAGAGCTCTACATGGAGTGAAAGGTTTAATACAGAAAACCCTCCATATAACAGACCTCTAAATAATGGACTCGGGAAATCCAGAACAAAATCTGCTGGGACAATCAATTCAGAAACAGTGGGCAAAGTCCATTGGTTACAGAACTGTCCATTAGTGTTAAAATCATGGCAAAAATATCTTCTTTATCCACCACAAATGCCATTACCAACCACTTATCATCCCTTATTAGTCCAATACATGGAGGGTTTACATATTTCCTTTCCAACCTCAGAGGCCTGGTCTGGACTGTGGGGAAGATAATCCCCAAGAACCAATAAGGGATAACATATGGCAGCTTGGGATAACATCCAGTAGAAAGCTATTATTAGGTCAAAATATCAACTGGACAGATATCATGACATTCATAAGAACATAAGAAAGAAGGAACACTGCAACAGGCCTACTGACCCATGCAAAGCAGGTCCATGTCAACCCCTGCCTTAGACCAATGATCCACCTAGTCAGGTCACTTCCACTTAAGGAAGGAGCACGGCATCAGACCTAGTAGCACAAGCTAGTGAGGTCCAACTCACACCCACCCACACCCACTCATTTTTTTTTTTTTTTTTTTTTATCACACTGGCCGATTCCCACCAAGGCAGGGTGGCCCGAAAAAGAAAAACTTTCACCATCATTCACTCCATCACTGTCTTGCCAGAAGGGTGCTTTACACTACAGTTTTTAAACTGCAACATTAACACCCCTCCTTCAGAGTGCAGGCACTGTACTTCCCATCTCCAGGACTCAAGTCCGGCCTGCCGGTATTCATCTAACCTATTTTTAAAACTACACGTTTTCACTTTTATGACAGTACTCGGGAGTTTGTTCCACTCATCCAAAGCACTATTACCAAACCAGTGCTTTCCTAACCCTCCAGCCGGAGGGCCTCAAGAAAGAAGATAGAAGAAAGAATAAGACGAACAACACCCCCAACCTGGGGTCCACCGCCGGGTCGCCATCTGGAGAAGACCCGGGGCGGAAGTACCAGCAAATCACTAATGAATGAATGAATGAGTGCTTTCCTATATCCTTCCTGAATCTGAATTTTTCCAACTTGAAACCATTGCTGCGAGTCCTGTCTTGGCTGGAAATTTTCAGCAAGTTATTTACATCCCCTTTATTTATTCCCGTTTTCCATTTATACACCTCAATCATATCCCCCCTAATTCTACGCCTTTCTAGAGAGTACAGTTTCAGGGCCATCAGTCTATCCTCATAGGTAAGATTTCTGATACATGGGATCAACTTTGTCATCCTCCTCTGTACATTTTCCAGTGCATTTATATCCATTCTGTAATACTTTGATCAGAACAGTGCAGCATAATCAAAACGAGGCCTAACCAAGGATATATAGAGTTGATGGGTGATGAATGTTGCAACAAGAAGGCTGAAGGCAGTGGAGATGTCATGTCTGAGGGAAATGTGTGGTGTGAATATAATGTAGAGAATTCGTATTTTGGAAATTAGGAGAAGGTGTAGGATTACCAAAACTATTATCCAGAGGGCTGAGGAGGGGTTGTTGAGGTGGTTCGGACATGTAGAGAGAATGGAACAAAACAGAATGACTGAGAGAGTGTATAAATTTGTAGTGGAGGGAAGGTGGGGTAGGGGTCGGCCTAGGAAGAGTTGGAGGGAGGGGGTAAAGTTGGTTTTGTGTGCAAGGGGCCTGGACTTCCAGCAAGCGTGTGCGAGTGTATTTGATAGGAGTGAATGGAGACAAATAGTTTTTAATACTTAACGTGCTGTTGGAGTGTGAGCAAAGTAACATTTATGAAGGGATTCAGGGAAACCGGCAGGCCGGACTTGAGTCCTGGAGATGGGAAGTACAGTGTCTACACTCTGAAGGAGGGGTGTTAATGTTGCAGTTTTATAACTGTAGTTTAAAGCACCCCTCTGGCAAGACAGCGATGGAGTGAATGATGATGAAAAATTTTCTTTTTCGGGCCACCCTGCCTTGGTAGGAATCGGCTGATGTGTTAATAAATAAATAAAAAAAAAATCCTGAGGACTTCTATTACTATACTTCTTGATATGAAGCCAAGGATTCTGTTAGCTTTATTGCGAACACTAATGCACTGCTGCTTTGTTTTTAGATTACTGTTAACCAGAACTCCTAAATCCTTTTCGCAATCAGTAGTATTAAGATCTACATTATTTAGTTTATATGTGGCATGGTTATTTTCCTGTCCAACATTTAGAACTTTGCATTTGTCTATATTAAACTGTATCTGCCACTTCTCTGACATTCTATGAGTAATAATCTAGAGCACAGTACCCATCAAAAAGAAATCTCCAGATTGACTGACTGGTACTGCTTAACTCAGTAGAAAGAATTACAATGACTGGCAACTGCTGGCACATTGTTCTGAGACTGGATACAAGAAATTTTAAGATAGAATACATCAATAAGCCTAATTAATAATATAATATACAGTTATTTTTTGACACATTACACAAGCTAACATTAACAAATTAAAAAGTAAATTACGGTAGTCATGGTGTGGATTTCTAGTTAAGAAATATTAGTAAAATTTGTCCATTATTGGTACTATCACAGCAAAACAATGTTCTCTATCCACTACAACTGCTGTTACCAGCCATGCTCCCCTATAAGTCCAATATTGTATTTTCTTTATCTATAATAAAAATAAGTTTCAAAGCAATCAAGTTTGTTAATGCATATTTGCATGGTAGACACACATTGACGTATTAAAAATTATACTTTTCACTACTGACCATCCTGATAAATACTGTATGTACTGTGTGTGTATAGATTCAGCTCTTAAACCCATTATCTATCCTATGCTGCAATACCTGAAGGATGTTCCAGGGGTCAATGCCCAGTCTACTTGGTTATGGTTCTGGGGTTTACTGCCTTCATTGCTTGGCCAGTCATGCTGTTGGTGCTTGTGAAAGCTCCAACATAGGCACCACAGCATAGCTATCAGAAGCATTTTTATCAGTCAGGTGCTCAAATACTGTCACACTTGCATAAGAATCAAAGACAGCAGTATCCTAATGGAATTTCTCATATTTATCCCACCTACAAAACTCACTCATGTGACGTTGCTACTTGTATGTTTGTTCCAGTATAAAAAAAAAAAAACACTAAATTAGGAATCTCTACTCCAAGAACACAAATGTGTTCCTGCTTTCAGTGAAAATTTAGGGCACTGGTAACTTTAATAATCTTACTAAAAATACTTGCCTCACAGATTCAAAGCCATTCCCCATCCTGCCTACCCACAAAAACATACTGAGCTAAATGACTTGAAGAACTTTATAAAGTCAAGCAGTCACTACAAGATCCACAAAATTATTTGATGTCATAGGTACAAAAGAGCCAAAACACAACTCTGAGCTTGTAGTCACTACAAGATCCACAAAACCAATTTTGCTTTGTGGCTATTACCTGATCACAACTTTCTTACACACTAAATGGTTCATTCTAGCAGTTGTTACAGTAAAGTACTCACCTCCTCAAACTTGGCACAGATGAGCTTAAATGCTGTGAAAATTGCATCAGTATTTCCAGTAACGGTGACGATCCTCTCTGGGCAAGACCCATCGCTGATGTTGATCTTTGCACCAGACTGGCAATGTGAAATAAGACAGTAGAAATTAATCAAGCCATAACTACAGTATATTACCAGTTATAAGATAGATTTTGGTAAAGCACAAAAATATGCCTAGAGTAATGCTCCTCTTCTTATGAGTGCAAGCCACCCCAAAAATTACGAAACAATTACCATAATAACGAAAAAAGTATCTTTGGCTATCGTTGCGCTATGCTGTTATTATATTAACGGTATAAAATATTAACACACAGATGAGTAAGATGTGTAACAGGTTATCTTTATTGACAAGACCTTTTACCTGCTTAAGCTTGTTCAGTGGAAATATAGGCATAATGGAGATACAGATATGAGGTGATCAATCCCTCACCCCTGCAGAAACAAGTTTGAAGTAGTCAGTCTTTCAGCCTTTGGTGCATGTTTAGTTCCAAAGCTTCTATCTTCTTCAAGGTATGTGCAGTTTACTTAGAGGTTTCTTTTTCTCCCAATGACTAATAGTATTGCATTCATAGGGGGAGCATTAAACCCTTAGGGGTCATACAGCACCTGGGGAAATGGAAGGCATTCAGACTTGATTCAAGGAATTGGAGAATGGGTACAATTCCTTGAATCTAAGGAAGTGAAGCTCAGACCCAATTCCCTACAACTATGGTGTATTCAGCTATAGAGATGACACACACCATGACTGAAGTATGGATCACCTTATATCTACATCTTCATTGCTTTTGCTGTTTCCTCTGTATTTCAACTAAAGACACCTGCTGAGCAGGTGAAATGTCTCATCAATAAAGACACCAAGTGTTACACTTATGTCTTAGTAATCTATGCTCTTATTGCCAAAAGGACACAAGTGCAACTAATGTAACATTTTATTTTGGCAACATTTTACTCTCCAGGAGCTTTCTTAAGCTGTTACAAACAATACATGAACACAGAGGGTATATATAGGCTTTGAGTGAGGTGTAGTACTAGCAGAGGCAATAGTAGTAGTTATACATGTGGTGGAAAAGTCAGCTGGTACATGAGTAAAAAGGTTATAAAAGCTATGGGTTGGTTTAAGGGTTGCCCAGCTGCAATGGCCCAAGGGACTCTGTGACCATCTCACTGTTGTGAGATTTACACCCAGAATGTTCCTGTAAACAAACTGTGTATGATAAAAAATTTATAAAATCATTCTAACCCTGATTATTTTATACAACAGGAGGGAAGCAGAATATATGTATAAATACTGGTGGGGAGTCACATGGACAAGTCCAGAATCTATGAACCTAGAATCTGCAACTTGTTTATAACAAAATTGGCGTTTAACAACCAAACATACACAATGTATATACGGTATTTATTATACTGACATATCAAGTTTTCTCTCATTTTAACCCTTATTTTGCAAACGTAAAGTAGCCAAGAATATATAAAACTCGAGTCTCTCAGTTTGTATTTAAATAATTCCAGTACTGTCACATTTCAGTATTAATAACATAAAGCAGTATATGAAAACACCATATGGACTGACTACTATGCAGGAAACAGCTAATTTAGTCACCTTTGTTGATTAGACCTGTTACTCCATAGATAAATAATTTTTATATAAACATCTCCAGTATCCTCACACATTACCCATGATTATGGTAATAATTTATACATAAATATTATCATCGATGTACTCATAGGATGTGTAAACACAGCGTGTGCTGACTGCGATTGCAGAAAAAGTCTGTTTTGCTCCCATCTGTGATGTCTGAAAATATCTTCTCATCTTATACCTGGGTTATGCAAAAATATGATTATATGAGGGAAGGTACGTCTCTCCATCTAACTGCATTCTAACTAACAATCTACAGAACTGTATATGCTTTTGCACTATACTATTTAAATTTAGATGAGTATGGCACATGTGAAAAAGTTTGAAATCTTTATTATGGAAATATTTTGCCTACACAGCAGGCTTCTTTAGTCGAATGGAGGAGACAGAAGAAGCAGTGGAGATTTAAAGATGTGAACAGTAATCAACCTCGAAGTTTCTGAGGTGGTCAGTATTTCAAAATGAAGAAGAGTTCAGCCCTATGGTCGGAATAATGTGAAGCTGAAGCATAAGAATGGAAGCTTATGTACTGCTAAAGGTGACACACACAAAATCTCAAAGTTGATACGGAAGGCAGGGCTAACTAGTAGAAGCAAAAATTTAAAAACTGAAAAGGCAATGTAGCAAGCCTACTGGTCTATGGGCCAGTAGGCTTGCATCTTACTCTACTATGTGTGATTATTGTAAATGAAGGCATCTATGTGACTGATATACATAAGGGGATCTATGTAACTGATATACATGAGGGCAACTATGTGACTGATATACAAGAAGGCAAGAAGGCAAATGTTGAGAGCAAGTCTTAAAATATGTACTCACTGGAGCAGAGGAGTGAGAGATACATGATAATATATATCTGGAAAGTACCCGAGGGCCTTATCTCAAATATGCACACTGCCATAACATACTGGAGTGAGAGATATGGGAGGAAGTGCAAAATAAACCCAGTGAAAAGCAGGGGTGCAGTAGGCACAATAAGGGAACACTGTATCAACGTCCTTGGTCCCAGACTATTCGACATCTTACCAGAAGATATCAGAAACACTGCTAGGACAAGTGTAGAAGTCTTCAAGAGGAAACTGGACAAGTATCTTCACCAGGTGCCAAATCAACCAGGCTGTGATGGGCCATCAGTAGCAACAGCCTGGTTGACCAGGCAAGCACCGGAAGAGCCTGGCTCATGGCCAGGCTCCAGGAGTAGAAAAGCTCTCAGAACTCATCAAAAGTATATCCAAGGTATAAACGCAAGTAGATGGCAGGTACTGGGCAGTGAAATGTGGTCACAATTACTAGGTCATGTTGAATGATAGGCTTTATCACTTCGGTTGTTGCTAGGTTGCAGCTAGTGGCTTCTAAATGATGTTCTGACTGTCAGTGAACAATGAATGTTGGTGGCTTGGCTATCAGTGGGAAGAAATTTATGGCGGTTGGTTGCAGAAGGAAGAGGGAGACATGAATTGATGGGATGTAAATGGGAAGGTGAATGGCGAATTGCAAATAGTCGACAGAATTTAGTAGTTAAAATTAATGAATAGGGAAAAACAGCAGGAACATACTGGATGACAAAAGGTGGATGTCAGCTGTGTACAGGGGAAGGGCAGTGGATTATGACTTGAGAATCAGAGGTGAATAATTTGCTCGTGATTATTATTTTTTTTACTGGAAGCAATAAACCCATAGGGGTCATACAACACTTGTGTGAATAAGAAAAAATCAGGTTTGATCCAAGGAAGGGGAGTACATGCCCAATTTCTTGGGTGAAGAGCCCCTCACAGGCATTAAGGAACATATTAACCCTTAAACTGTCCAAATGAAGATCTACGTTTTTTCAACATTTGAAAGTATGTAAAAAAAAGATCTTTTTTTTTTTTTTTTACATTTGAAAATGTGTAAAAAAACTTTGATCTACGTTTTTTTTTGTTATATTTGAAAATATGTAAAAAAACGCAGATCTACTTTTGGAGCACTACACATGTGAGCATAGATCTGCTTGGACAGTTTAAGGGTTAAGGGGCTCTCATGAGGGGACTGGGACTGGACAATGGGAACAGCTATGTAGTGCCAACTTCAATTAATTACTAAATTTAATGTGATACATCTGTGACCGGTTTCAAGAGCACTCTACCTGACACTTTTACACCTCCACATCTCTCTGGTATGTTGCAATACTGTATTTTATTTACTTGCCATAAGTGTAAAACATTCACCACGAAGGTACAAGTTCCAGATTTACAACTTATCGTAAAGCAGTCTAGGTCTCCAGTAAGTATTAGTGTTGGCCATGGGTTGCCTTTTATAGGGCATTATGTATACAATCAATCAATAAAGTTCACATGAGGGTGACAGATGGTCACAGCCTGCACCCAAAATGACTTGAAAAAAATATCAGTGGGGAATGCAGAGTTTAGCAAGCTACTCCTGCCATGAAGGGTGCAATGGCAAGTTCTATGTTCCCTTAAAAAATTAATCACACTACATTCTTCTCACACTCATTTGTACTAACACTATACGTATACTACAATTATCATGTATTTTTTATTTAATATTTACCCTAAGCAGGGTAATTGTGCAAAGGATTATATTAATTTATTCTAGTCTTAAAAATATACACTGTACAATATCTACATTCATATACTGTGTAGGAAATGTTTTAGACCCTTAAAGAGTTGGTGTTAGCGATAATACTGCTAATGTTATACCCCTCAAGGGAGGTTCCTTGATGCTGGTGAGGGGCTCTTGATCTAGGCAACTGGATCTGTGCTCCAGTTCCCTGAATTGAGTCTGAATACCTTCCTATCCCCCCCCCCACATGCATTGTATAATCCTACGAGTTTAGTGCTCCCCCATGATTATAATAATGATAATGCTAATGTTATATGGTATTATTATCTGAGTAATACATTCTTCCCAGCATATTCAATCATATAAAAACATTTACAAATATTGTATGCCCCAGACACCTTATGAATTCTCACTCAAAAATGACCAATGCTTTATGCCCTATTCCATCGTACATTTACCACCATGAGACTATCCTGAAAGTAAACCTGCATACCGCCCCCCCCCCCCTCAAAGGTGAAGCTAAACATGTTGGAATTACATGTATTACATACATATGTAAAAATATCTTGAAAGATTCCTCACTGAAATTACTTTAGAATTTTTACAAATGCACCAATCTTCCATTATGTGGCTTCATTTATTCCATTAAAATTTTAACCTTGTCCAACATACTAGTTCACGCAAGTGATGTCAATATGTCCACTGTACTAGTATGTACAATTTTCGTACCTCAAATATGCCACCTACCAATATTTTTGACCTCGGTAAAACTCTTTAGGTCTTCTACATTCTCTTTATGTCTTTGAAATTAAAGTCTAATTCCAGGTGAGTTTACACAGTACATTACTGTTACTACACAGGTGATAACTCTGTGCTACATACCAGGTCCACTACCGGCAAACTGGGTGTGGAAGTGGAAGGGAGATGA